GTTTAAATGAGAACTGCCATGGAAAATCCAGGAAATATGGCAACTGCAATAACAGAGGAGTTAAAGGCTCTGTTCTTGTAGGATATATATAAATTTTTTAATGTGAATACATTTATTACTTTATTCTTACCAGCAAGACTTATTTTTTCCAGCTTTATGGAACTATAATTAACAAATAAAATTATATATATTTAAAGTGTAAAACATGATGATTTGCTATACATATACATTGTGAAATGATTACTACAATCAAGTTAATTAACAATCCCTCACCTCACATTGTTACTTTGTGTGTGTGTGTGCACTAAGAACACTTAAGATCTACTCTCTTAGCAAATTCAAGTATACAATACGGTATCATTAACTATAGTCACCATGCTGTACATCAGATCCTCGGAATTTATTCATCTTATAACTGAAAGTTTGTACTTTTTGGCCAACATCCCCCCATTTCCCCTACCCCTCAGCCCCTGGCAACCACCATTCTACTCTCCGTTTCTATGAATTCAACTTGTTTGGTTTGTTTTTTAGGTTTCACATATAAGTGATAGCATACAGTATCTGTCTTTCTCTGTCTGGTTTATTTCACTTAGCATAATGCCCTCCATCTTCATCCATGTTGTTGCAAATAGATTTTTTCTTTTTTATGATTGACCAATTTTCCATTGTATATACCTAGTCCACATTTTCTTCATCCATTCAACTTCCCTTTGTCCATCAACACTTATTGTGTTTCCCTTTATTGAATATATATTTTTAAATTCCCATTCATTGTTTTTACTGTCCAAACGGTTTTCACGGTTGATGGTTAAAATTGTGCATTTTCATATATTCACTTTTTAAAACATAAAGATGAATAATGCTCAGTTTTCAGCCTCAAAGAGCTCAAGATCTATTGAGCAAGACCAAAACATAAACAGATAATTCTATTACATGAGAGACGAAGGATACGTATATACAGAGGATATTAAGGGACCTCAGAGAAAGAGAATATAGTCCAGTCTGGGGAATCTGGAAGTTTTCTTGGAGGAATTGAAACTGTGTTTGTCTTGCCACCAGTGTTTCACCAACACCTAGCATAATGCCTAATGCCTAAGATGAACTCATCAAGCGTTCGTAGGATAAATGAATGAATGCATAAATGATTGAGCTCTCAGTATTAATATTGGTAAGGAATAATGTTGACTCTCTAGCAGTGTTGAGCTCAATGAGTGCTGGTATGCAGTAGGTAGAGTGATGGGTTTAAACAAAGTAGTGTTTTTCTTCAAGTGGGTATGAACAAGAAGTTAAGGCTTGGTGTCACAGAATTACCTATAGTGTTTCAGTTACTCTGTATTATGCAAGGGGATTGAATAGGGGATTTCTCATCCTCTCTGGAGTCAATTTCACATACACATGCCTGACATCTCCCTCCTCCCCTTCAAAAATAAATTTCTTAAAAATATTGTCTACACTGACTGGCTTCCTTTTCTCACTTCCCACTGAGTTTTCACTCCACTTCTTTGGCCACTCCCTCCAGTCTCTTTTGAGAATTCCTTCCCACTTGCTTGTCTCTACATCTCTTCCTACCCTTCACGTTACCCCTGGGCTATCTCATCCACTCCCATGGCTTTCATTATATATGCTGCGGAGGACTTACTAAGAAGATAAGATAAGAAGAGAGTTCTTATCTCTCTTCTGTGCTCCAACCAGCCTCTCCCACTCCTTTGTGGACCTAACCATTCAGGTGTTCTTCCCACAACACAAGCTCAAACACCCTAAGTGATTTATTATCTTTCACCCTAATACGTTCCTTTTGGAATGTTCTCTGTCTCAGAGGTTCCAGTGTCTACCAAGCTGTCCTAGTCAGAAGCCTGGGGAATCACTCATAACCCTCTTTCCTCATAACATAGATTCTATTAATTAATCATCCAGCAAATCATCAATTCTACCTTCTTTATATTTTTCTGAATTTCTCAAATAACTGGCAATGAATATGTAATCAGAAAAATATCTTAATTAAAAGAAATATATTTTTTAATTTCAATTTGGGTCTGGTCAGTTTGGCTCATATCACCTCTACACTCTTGGGAAACTTACCGCAGACATTGGCAAAATTGGTTTTGTCTCTACGAACAGCCTGACAGATTTTGGCTTCTGCAAAAAGAGACTGAGGGCAGAGCTATGAATATTTAATCTGTTTCTCATTGAATTATCCAAAAAGCAGGAATGGAAACCCCACCCACTGACCAGCCCTAGTTGCATAACTCAACGTTCTCACATTTTACGGTTGGTGTCGCAAGGGAAAATTCAAAGCAAAACTATAGGCCCTTTATCTTCCTGCATCAGAGCCTTCCACAGGCTCAGGGGGTGAGAGTGTACCTTTCCGAAGAGACACCATACATCATGACTTCTAGAAGCAAAGCAAACTGAACTGATTTCTTGAAAGTCTGGGTAGCCAGGGCATATCAAAGGGAATATGGGATGGTTTATGTGGTTTGAAAATTCTTGGGGCAAAACTGTCTTCCTGTTGCTTTTGGAAACTACAGTCCAGAATTGGAAAGGAGGTAAACAACAGGAACTCCCTCACCACTTGGTTTGCTTCCTATTTGTACTTAGCTAATTATTTTATGCTAACAAGAAAGCATGTTTCTCTACAGTCTTTTTTTTTTTTTTTTTTTAAAGGCTTGCTGCAGCCATGGAACACTTGGAAGATGAAAGCCAAATCAGTTCACTTTTAGTGTAGACACAAGTGAACCCAGGTGCATTCTACCAGGCAAACCAGTGAATGAACTTCCTCATCAATTTCCCTTCCTCTCTGCTCCATCGTACCTAGAATGGCCGAAATTCATTTGATACATGATCAGCCATCAACCAAGGCTAACAGTACTGAAAATTTCAAAGTAGTGGTTGGTGGTCATGAATTTAAAGTAGGGTTGGTAGTCATGTCCAGTGTTCCCACCTCCCAACCCCTAATAGGTATTAGTAACAACTAGCGGGCAAATCTCTCCCTTCCTTTTGGTAGCCCTTCAGCGGGCCCTTCCTTGGATTGTAACTTCTTCTGTTCCTCTAAATCTGCCACTTCTATCTGCTTTCTTTGTTCCAACACTTTGCTACCTGCCATTGTCTCCTCTATTCTTTTTGTCTTCATGGATTAATACCTTTTTCTATTCCTTTACAATTATTTTATCAGAATTTGAAGGAGAGGAGATAAACCGGTAACATCAGTCACTAATTTTTAACTAGAACTTTAATTATTTTTGTATTTATGTTTTTGCCATTAAATTCCTTCAGGGCAGAAATGGGTTGATTAAATTCTGTCCTGACCCCCTTGCACAATGCCTGGCATTTTCAGTAATTCTTTCTGAAAGAAAATGGAATGAATTTCTCTGAGTCCTTTGCTAAGCTAATACCTAGAACGGGATGTAAGCTGCACATAAAAGTTCAACCAGATAATGATTATAGGGCAGATAATGATGTTAGGAATTGGGTCAAATGCTTTTGGATCTACAGAAAAGCCAAAATGCATTTTTCTAAATTGTGTTTTCAGAGATTTGATGCTTGTCTTTGACTTATATGTATTCAGGTCTCCAAGAAAAGTTTTCCCACTGCTCAAGTGTGGGGGCATGTTTACAAGCAGTTAGCCTTGGCCCCCTCACTGTCCTTCTACCACCACCGCCAACCCCTGCCATAGATTCATCTTCTCTGAGTTGTTTTCTGAGGCTGGGGGTGCCTGCCAGCCTGAACTCCTGGCTCAGGCAGCTGAGTAGGAGAAGAGGTGGGTGGTGCAATAATTTATTTTTGCATGCCTGATTTAAACCATCCCCTTCTAACCAAATGGGAGCTTTCAGCTATTAGAGAAGACGTGCAAGCCCCTTTTGTCTCTCTCCCTTTCAAGCTGCAAAGATGCCTTTCACCAGATCAAAAGATTAAGGCTCCTTCCAGAATTCCAAACCAGCTGGTTCTGAGAATTTTAAATGTGTCTGAAAAAAGCATCTGTTCTTTCCATGTTACTTCTATCTTCCTTTTATATTAAACACCTATTCATTTATGTTTGCTAAGGCTGATAAGTGGAGAATCTATAGTTTGTAAATCCAAAAGGGGAAGCCTCTATGTGCATTTATTATTTCCCTCATCTTGCTAGATCCATAAAGACTCTAAATTAAGGTTTTCAGTCCCTGTTTTTGACAGGCCACCAGCCTGACATACTCAGTGTTGACTGCAGCTATCTTTCTCAGGGTAGAGCATGGCATTTGCACAAGCACTTGAGAAACTTAAAGCCTTGAGAGGCTTTCTTGAACTGGTGTTTTGAAACTTCCTAATGTCCCAATTAAAGAGGGTTGCAGTTTTCTCTGAGTTTCACAGCTCAGCCTGGTGTAATCTGGATTGGGACGGTTCCAGGAGAGGAGGTCAAAAAAAGTGCAGATTCATACATAATGTATGTAGGATTTTAATAAGCATCCTTTCATACCACAGCTTCTCTTCATGGTTTCCCATAAAACTTCACAAGCCACAGGCACTATGACTATTGTTTTTTAAAAGAGTAACAGAAGGAAATGTTCAACCTCTTGCAATCTAAGTTGCTCCAGGAATTAAAATGTCTTTATACAGATGCCTTACAACAAAAATCTGTACTCTATGACAGTAATCCTCACCAAAATTAGATAAACTCAAGCTGTATTAATTTATATCAAGCTTGAGAAATTTCAACACTCATTTCCCCTTTATAAAGTGAAGATCGATTAATGTCCAGTAGAAAAGGGGCTTTATAGCAATTACCTACTAATCCTAAAGATGGATTAGGAAAGAAGATATAATTTAAACAAAATAGACCAGGAAAAGCCTCTTTTTTACAGTTGATTTTTTTCTATTTTTATTTCATAGGATAAGGGCATATCAGGTTTGAATGGAACCTTAAAAAGTATATAAGATGCTCTCCCCAAAAATCTCTGCTTAGTGGTATGGAACACATTATTGATTGTTTACCCAAGAACCATCCTCATCTGTTCTTTTTCATTCAGGAACCCTTGGGAAGACATCTCTGAGCACCAGGAAAAGTCACATTGGGCCTTGATGGAAAGAACGACACATCACCTAGAGCTTATGGACTTGGAGCTAGATAGAGTCCTGGATGAGATCCTGAATTGTCTTCCTTTGGGTAGCAAGTGAATGCATTTCATGTAGAAGTGGTTAGCCAGTTACCAGATAACCTCCAGGGAAAGGGAATTCAAAATAATCCTCTCCATTCTTGGCCAGCCCTGAATATTAGGAAATATTTCCTATGTAAGAAGCTGAGGACTAGCTACGAATCTTTAAGTTGAAAGTCATAGCTCCCCAACTCAAATTATCATGATTTTTAAGAATGGATTAATTGAAAAGTCCTCCAGAGTTGCTGAAGCATAGCTGCATCCAGTGGTTCCAAGACTGACTGGGCTGATGTGTCTCTCACAGACTGTAACTGCGAGCATGGAGGATTCCGGTCCATCATTTCTAAGTCAAACATCCATCCCTAGGGACTGAGGGGGTTGGGGAAGAGGAATCAGTCTCCTCTGAACCACATGGGCTGAACAGAATTACTATGAAGTGGGAGAAGGATAATTACCCAAAAGAAAAATATTTTACTCACCCCATTCTTCATGGACAGACAATTTAGCACATTCCCCCTTCCCCCCTCTACCCCCAGTGATGTCAATTACTCCATTTACAACAGGAAAGAAAAGACATACTTCCTCTGCCAAGAGAGACATCAGTTACCACTAGCTCCTGCATTTAGCTGTAATCGAGGTCCTCCAACTGACAAGCATTCTTTTAGGGCAGGGCCAGGTGTGGCTCTTCATGGACCCATAACTCATTACTAAGTACTACATTAAAGCGTTCTCCCTCAAGAAAAGAGTGTGCAATAGGGAGGGAAAATAACATATTCACAATTCAAATTCCCAGTTGGAAAAGGAGAGAAATTAAGACAATACACAAAGGTTACTGTTCCACAGCATATCCCACACAGGTGGACAGAATTAGCGGGAATCCCTGCATGCAGTGGAATGAGATAGTGAGATCTTGGACAGTCATTCTGGCTGATTCCAGCTTCTGCTCCAGGGAGACCTTCCTTAATCTTTGTCCTCTGTGGCCGTGTCCAAGAAGTGTCATATGATTCTTCTTTGGGAAACTGCCCTGCATTTATCGGATCTGACAGATTTAACAGTGCACTTGCTATTGATGCAAATCCGAAGTTTTAGGGGTTTCTTAGGGTTGAGATGTGATAGGCTTAGGATTTCTCTGGTGGTACAACTCCCTTAAAAACTCAATCAACAGCTGGCCAATTCGTTAGTAAACAGAGCTAGATATCTAGTCATGGTCTTTGAATCTGTAACCTGGCATTATAGTTTTTGTCTTAGGAATAGACATTGTTCTTTACCATCTTTCTAGCTCTCAAAGAACTGCTTCCATTTTGACTCTGCCTCAGAGCAACTCAAAACAATAGGCTGGACAAGGTAAAGCACAGGTGATTTGAGTGAAATACACAGCGACAGATGTACCCTCCTGGATCCCAATCTTAGCCCATGCTATTTCTCCCCCTCCCTGCCTTGTTCCCATCAGCATTTGTTTGAGGTAGAGGCAGGATTTTGGTGAACGTGGCATTGCATATCCACTGTGGCAGGTGGACGGAATCTTCTGATTGATCAAGCTCAGCCCTGTCCCGACTCCTGGGGAGCAGAATCATTCTCACCACTACCACAGGGACAGTACCTCTGTGCCCACCTCACATCCTCTCTGCTCACTTGTTTACTCGAGGCACCTGCAGCACCCAGGTGTAAAAGGACTGCAATTTGCCTTGGTTCCATTGTACGTCTGTCTGTGTCTGTGTATATATATAGAGAGAGAGAGAGAGAGAATGTATATATAATATATATGTATATATTTATATATGTTTATATATATACATTATATATCTCAGTTACATTATATATTATATATACATTATATACTTACCACCTTCCCAAGACTTCTTTTTTTCCACCTAGTGGGACACTTGTGAGACCTGCTCGCCGATTCTGACACACGTGCAAACTGGAGATAAAAGAGACTTAACATCCCCTGGGCAACCCGTAATCAGTGGATACAGGAGCCTATGGATAAATACCCCTCTCTTCTCTTCCATTTCAAGGCACATTCCACACAGCTCCTCACAGGGTTCCTAGCAGGCTAGAGCTTTTTTTTCTTTACTGTTTTACTCCTCCTTGGCCCACACTCCTGTTCTTTGAAATTACTTCTCAGAATAAGTTACCTGCATGTGAACCTTCTTTCAGACCCTGCTTTTGGAGGGATATGGACTGAGGACGACTAGTATGGAATGAGACACAAATGAAGAGTGTCTCTGTTGGAATCCTGGTTAGCCTTGTGGCTAATGTGTATTGAAGCTTTACTCATAGCAGACATGTTTTGATGGGTGCTCCATGTTTTGACTCAATCAGTCCTCACAAGAAGTCAGTGAGGTAGGTGCTGTTTTACCTATGAGGCATGGAAAGGATAAATATCTTTTTCAAGGCCACACAGCCGTTGGGCAGAGGAGGCAGGATTTGAACTCAGGCAGTAGACTCCACAGTCTGTGCTTTTCATCACGACACTGTACTGCTCCTCAGCCCCATCATGTGGTCTCACACCTCTTTGATATGTTTGTGTAGAAATATTGGAAGACGTCTTTCAGGTTTTTCATGATTTCTCCGGGTTAAACTAAGCATATACTTCTACAAATACTTACTGAGAAAAAACTGTGCTGAGCAATATGGCAGGCACTGGAAACACACTGATGAAGAAAACAGACCCTTTGGTCTCAAGACGCTTACAGACCAGCAAGAGCAGGGATGGATGCGAGCGCCGTGTGATAGCCATGGAGATAAGGGTCTGCACAGGTGTGATGGAACACCTGGAAGGTACAGTTGTCTCAGATCAGTGGAAATAGGAATGTGGGCCTGGTGACTCGGTGCTGGGTGTGACTGGAAAAGGGAGGTCAAGAGTGTCATACGTGACATGGACGCTCGGGTGTTGGCAGTGCCTCCAATGAGAGAACACTGTAGAAGGAGGACTGAGGAGAAAGGTAGTTTGGTTTTGAAATAAAATAAAGCTGCTTTGGGACCTCATATGACATACTCTCCTTGTCTTGTAAGCAAGTTTGTTTTAATGTGCAGAGTTTTGGGGACTACAAGGATAGGATTCTAGATTTTTTTTTTTTGTATAATAAATGTAAATTCTGTAATTCCAGCCAGTGGTAATCCTGCTTCTATCAACTAACATATGTACTCTTCTACTGAGCTTCATGTTTTTTAAAATGTCACCCCCCCCCTTTTCTTGAATATTATACTACTTTTTAAGTTGTGGTTTTTCCTGTTTTTGTTTATTTCTGTTTTTTTTTTTTCAGCCACATCACACTTATGACTCTTACTGAAGCTGACAGGCAATCAGAATCTTTGATTTCTTTTCATAATTCTTTTCGTTTCTTGCTTAAATATGAGTTTATACTTTCTAAAATGTATTTCATGAAATTGGGCTCATTGTTTTAACTTGTTAAGATCATTCTGGGTCTGGATACTGTTCCTAAACATTTTAGCTTCCCTTCCAGTTTTGTGCCATTGATAGAAGGCTTTAGTTTTAATAATCACAAGAATAATCAAAGTTTCAAAAATCTACAAGTACCTACTGTCCTAACTTTAAAAAGGAGGAGAAAGAAAGATCTCAGCAAAGGTAGGCCACTGAGGTTAGTACTACTTTGTGGCAAAATTCTAAAATAAATTATCAAATACATTTTTGATAGCATTGAGCAAAGAAAGTGCTGATTGCTTGAAAACAGCAGAAGTCTACTAAGAAAAAATATACCAAACTAATCTAATTTCTTCCCTTCATGATGCTGCTAGATCAGGAGAGGAAAGGACTGCTGTCGACATATGGTATGTGAATTTCAGCAGGGAATTTAACATATTCAGTCCTTGCAGATGAGATGGATTGAATTATAACAGAATAAGGCATCCCAACCAACGGTGTATGGTGTATCTGAAAGAGCATGAACCCAGGTGTCTTGTCAAAATGGTGCTGAGTTCCCTTCCCTGCTTGAACACAGCAAAGAAAGATAAAGTAGTGGATGAAAGATCAACAGGTGTAGGCTTGCTCAAAGACAAGATAACTTCTCTGTACACCAAAGAAAGAGCAGAAATATAGAATGCTAAATGGGGTCCAAAGGCCAGAACTTCAAAAATACATAGAGATAGCTGAACGTTTGAGTCCTAAAGGGTGAAAGGGACCCAAAACAGTCCATTCATACATTTGGGCAGCCATATGCAATCAGTATTTAAAAGGGCTGGATTTACGGGTTCTCTTAGAAGAAAAAAAAAGAGGAGCTTGGACAATAAGAAGCCTATAACAACAACCTATTAGAAGTAACCATAGGCTCTCTATTTTAGATGGAGTTTTATTGATCCCATCTACAATATTTTTTATGTAACTTGACTGGCGTCTATAGCTTGTTGAGTTTGATATCTCCACCAAGGGTTAAAGTCAAAACAAACGGATTACACGAGTCTAGAGTTCAAAGCATGGATCCAGATGTCAGCTGCTCAGGGCCCTGCACCCATATCACACCTATTCTTCTTGGCATGGACTTGGGCAGGGTGCTCCTATAAAAAACATTGTAAATGTCAACCCCTGCTTCTCATGTTGAAACCTCAGATATAAATGGTGCAGATCAGTAGAGACCTGTCTCATACTTGTCTGTTCCCAAACCTATTACTTTTTACATTGTGGCTTTTCTGGGAAACTCCTGACCATCAGAGCGTACAACGCTTTCCAAGGTGATTATTTTCTACTTACTAAAGTGATGTCTGAACCCTGCTGTGTGTGAGAAACAAAGGAATTTATTTTCGGATATTCATTCTTCTTTCACAGCCGTGTGGTCTGATGAGTTGACACTGAAAGACTGAGTATCCTGTCTGCCCTCCAAAGTTCAGCAGAAACCTGCTTAGATTCTGTGGCAAGAATTGTGTGGCAAGCTGGGAATTCTGGAACAAAGTGACATGCCTTGAAAACCTTTAATAGGCACACATAGTCCACAGACAACCCCAGGAAATTATTCAAATGAATACCAACCAGTGCTGTGATCATTTAATAAAGAACCTGGTTTGAATGCTTACAATATGTTTCCATTAGCATGCAATTTTCAATTGGATGCATTGGAAGGTAGTGGTCTGCAGAACGCCAGGGTGTGGGAAAGAACAAACGGTCCTGCTGTTTTGCAGTGGGAACACATTAGGGAAAACTGACACCCTGCAAAACATACCCAGCTCCTGCTTCTCTAAGCTGGAGAAGATGACCTCTGACCTCTCTGTGAACGTTAGTGCCAGAGAGTTAGGGGGATAAAGAGATTCATGACCACCAGGAAAAATAAGTGACTCACCTATGTACCATAATATTCTCTTTCCTTTCCTCTTCCCTCCAGTTTCAACTCCCTTTTCCCTCCCTTCTTCAGCAAATCATCTGAAATATAAGGTCTCCATGCAGCCTGATACAGTAAATACATCCAGGAAAAGCTGGCCGCCTTTTTCTTCTTTTTTTTTAAAGATTGGCACCTGACCTAACATCTGCTGCCAATCTTCTCTTTTTCTTCTTCTTCTCCCCAAAGCTCCCCAGTACATAGTTGTATATTCTAGCTGTAGGTCCCTCTGGTTGTACTATGTGGGACGCCACCTCAGCATGGCCTGATGAGCAGTGCCATGTCCGCGTCCAGGATCCAAAGCGGTGAAAGCGCGGGCCACCAAAGTGGAGCGTGTGAACTTAACCACTCGGCCACGGGGCAGCCCTGAAGCTTGCCTTCTTAATGTCTTTGGCATTTTTCTTATGGCATCTCCTTGTTCACAATTTATTGGTCCTTGTGTGAACACCTGACCCAAACTAAACAATGAGTCTTTTCCTTGTAGTTTTGGGGTGAGATGGTAGAAAAGTCTGCCAGTCCTCCCTAGAGGTAGAAACTGTAAGATCTAAAACTTGGAACTACCGCCCCCACCCCCTCTCCCATGTTTTCCGCAATGTGGGCAAAACTAATTTGCAATGACACAGAATGAAGTTCCCGTGAGGAAAGAAGCTCACGTAAGAACTGGAGAGAGAGAGGAAGAGAAAAAGAGAGGGGTGGGAGAGAGAGAGTTCTGATATCATATATATCTCTGGTTCTAGTTGTTTCCTTGTCCAGCAGCTTCCCTGACCTTCCTATAATTTGGTTGTTAAACAATTTCTTTGACTTAGTGAACAAAATTAATTCCCTTAAAAAAATTAGTTCAAGAGTTAGTGCCGTCATTGCAGCCAAAAGGGTCAACTAATATAGCATTAAAAATCTTCTGGTAGGTAAACGTCTTTTACCTGTGATTAGACTATTCTAAGGTGAAACATTCAGACCCATCAAGATGGGCTGATTTGCCAATACCACATCTAGACGACAGTGCCCTTTTTAACTGTGAAAAGGTCACATCCTACAAGTGCTTCAAGTAGAACACCTTCTCTGGAGGAGATAAGAGCAGGTTACCACCCAAGTGCCTCAACTTATCTACTCTTCAGGTCTCTTAAATGCCCACACATCTTCCAACCTAAGAAAAAAATCCATCTTGGCCCTATTCAAAGCTGAACAGGTAGGTAGCTGAATTAGTTAGTATTTCAGACCACAGATGTTGGCCTGAGAGAAGAAAAAGGCTTAGATTTACCCTCTAAAGCTCTGGTTCAGAGTCAGGGGGCATGGGAAAGGGGCATTCCCAGAAAAACTGCACCAGAATCTCTGGACGGGGGTGGGATGGGGATGGATAAGCATATCCATTTATGCTTATTCAGCCCTGCCCAAATCTCAAGCTACTCCCTTCTCAAAAATGAAGACCTAATTCTGTCTACAGC